AGCTAAAGTTTCTTATAGCAGTAGGTGGGATGAGTTAAATTGATAAGGAATTTGTGACAATCTTTCTCTTTTTGGATTACTACTCAGTTTGTAAAGATCCTGGATGTCTTCAGCTGATGTAATTCTGCCCTTGAGCACCACGGAATCACGGGACCGTTTAGGCCTCAGACACCCCAATCATAATTTAATTGTGAATTGATCCTCCCCCACAAAATTATGTAGAATGGCTCCTGGCAGGAATACATACACATTACAACATTTACTGTAAACAATTACTGTTGCTGTCATTTTTGTAAATTGGTGGTGGGTTTCCATCACCATTTTGCTGGCTTTTTGGCAATAAATGTAAGTTTTGCTGTTCAACTTGACCCTTGGAAATACTCTAAAAATCCTGCTCTTTTTTTTTCCTTTTTGGTACCGGGGATTGAACTCAGGTCCTTGGGCTTGCGAGGGAGGCCACAGAATCGCTGAGCTAAATCCTCAGCCCTTTGCTCTTCTATTCTTTTTCTTTGTGTGTGTGTGTGTGTGTGTGTGTGTTTGGTACTGGGGATAGAACTCAGGACCTTGAGCTTGCAAGGCAGGCACTAGAACCACTGAGCTAAATCCCTGGCCCTTCTACCTTTTTCTTTCCACCTCTTCACCACCCTAAATGATGATACTATAATGGTACCTTGGTACTCATCATTAATTGGCACCCAAAATAGCATGTACCAAACATGTCGTTTTGGCTGGAAAAGGTAGGAGTCATGAGGCAGTCAACATCAAATTCTTGCTTGTGTGTCAAGTAACAAACAAAAGAGTATTGAGGCCAATTTTTTTTTTTTTTTGTCAAAATGTCTCGAGTGTAAGATTTGATAAGTTTCAAAGCAGTTGAGCACCAAGATATAACCATATTTCCAGATACAAGTGGCTAATTTGGAAAACTAAGCAACATAGGCTTGTTACAGGCTCATATATTCAAAGATCCCAAATGGGAAACATAATAAATGTGCTTTTAGTGAAAATCTGTATGTGTTGATTAGTAGTGGGTGCTAAATTTAAAGACCCTTGTTAGGCTCAAACTAGAAGAAATTTTCATGTTTTGTATGCAATTTTAGCTAAGTAATGAAAGAATAAACAACTTTTAAACTGAACTAAAAGTTTATTAAAGCTGCTTAATTATAACTTGTAGTATTTGAATATATATTTCTATTTGATCTGAAATGGCATAAGAAAATATTTGTTATGCCAAACTCAAGTTAGAAAAAATATAAAGCAGTATATAAAGAATTACTTTTGTGTCTTTCTTGTTAAGAATTTAAAAAATTAGCATGGTGTGTTTACGATGCTCAAATCTTCGCTTTATTTCTAAGGCTCAAAGTTTACTTGGCATAATTTCATTTTTGCTTTATTTTTAGGTTTAGAATGATTTCCATGAACCATTATTCATTTTTAAGTCTCTGTCATTATCAACATAGATCTTATGTTTGAAATTAATACTACTGAATCTGAAACTCTTCGTATTACTTGTCCAGAGATTACAATCCCACAAAGTTAAACTGAAACTATATGAACAACTAGCGGGCTTGGGAATTTGTTCTTTTTGGACCCTATACAATTTGATAGCTGGAACAAAAAGTAGCATAATCCATGGGGGAGAAACGTAGAATTGACTGCTTTTTGTCTATGTAGCTTGTTCCCCGTTAACTGCTTGAGAGTAGGAGAGCTTTTCTTTGTGTGGTTATTCCTTCCTAAAACAACCTTTCCAAAATACAGCTGTACCCTCTTGGAATTAGGATTTAACTGAATCAGTGTTTCTTTTTTTATTAGAAAAATTTAATCAACTTCTTCAAGTATGATCTAAAATATGTGAGGTTTCTGAATCTATTCAGTTGACACATCTCTGAGTTATAGATAGGACTCAGTAGAAGAAAGCCAAATATCAGCTTTCCTAATGCAGAATGACTTAATTAAGCTACTGGATGATCAAAAGAATTCAAATAAGTAAGGTAAGGCTTACTCAATTAAAATATGTTTGAGAACTTTACCGCCAGAATTATCTGATGGAAACCTGGTATATTTAGGGAGATAACTACATTACTATGGTGTGAAGAATTCAAACCAAATAGGATTGAGCTGAAGACAAGATCACCAGTAGCCTGGATAATTTAGTTAACTGATGACTTTGCGATGAGGTAATGTCATAGATAAGAATGCTTACCTTCAACAGCAGGATATTTCCCAGGCAGCAATTTGCAGAATTGTTTAGTGTCTCCCAAGTTCAAAGATAACATGAGGTATACATGAGAAAATTTTATGTGAAAAAACATTGCATAATTTTAAATGTTCTAAAAATGGTAAAAAAGCAAAACAATGGGAAGAAAATTATCAAGAAAAAGACCCTAAATTGTGAGAAGTTGAATACTTGTTTTTTTTTTCCCTTTAATTCTGGAAAATATCTTTTGAATCAGGGAAGGGGACTTGGGTGTTTTGCTCTTCCTGTCTTTATCAATTATAGTAATAGCCATTAATTTAAATGCTCCACCCATAGGTATCAAATGAAAAATAATAAATTTTAGTCTGGTTCAGATTACTCATATCATATTGATTCTGAAAACTCTCTTCCTGGGTTTCCTAGTGGATTTACCTTTGATTAAAGACTACAGAAGAAAATCCCTCCTCAGAAAGTCACATTATGCCTTTGGTCTATAACAACCACTAGGCATTCATTTCCAGATCTTCCTCTTGCTTAGTTTAGTGCCTTACAAGTACTTACTACATTTCTCATTGATGGAATAATTGATCTAGTTTTACAGGAGGCCCAAGTTAGTTAAAAAAAAAAAAAGCGGGAAAGAGAAATTTAGACCTGGGTTCTAGTGTCATTCTTTTATACATTCACCAATTAAATATTCAGTTCCTTGTTATGTGCAAAAGAGGAAGAGTTTTGCTGCAGCAGACATAGTTTGCTAATGTGTATGCATATAGAATGTGATATCATAGCTAGAATAGAGCTAGCACAGAAGAAAAGCCAGCACATCTGTAAATGGTTATTTTGTATGCACTTTACCTTCCAAAGCTGTTTGCCTAAAATTCTGCCTTTATTATAGGCCAGTAGTGACTTTCTATGTCTTTAAGTTTGCATTTCAGATAGGAAGTAAGGCCTCTCTAAAACTTTCACATGCTAAGAGCTGTAATTAAGGTAAAAGGTCTTATTTAAATAGTAATTAGGCTTCAGGACATGAAAGGTAAATAGAACTCTAATTCATTTAGATAGTGAATTGGTCTTCTGGGTTAGAGATTTTAGCCTTCCTCTTTAGCTACGCTCTGTTATGTACTGAGTTGGAGATACAGTAATGTGTTTTCTTAATGGGATGAAATTTTGTAAGTGCATGCTTGGCTCTGGAATTTTAGCTTTTAACTCTCCAGTAAACACTAATGCAAATAAATTTGAAAACATCAAGTAAGTTTCTGAGACAAAATCATTAACACTTGAGTTTTCTTTGCAGTTACAGGGACCATATAATCTGGTATGTTATTCCCTTTTCCTACTCGAGTGCTTTGATTTGGAGATAAATTATGTGGTCAACCTAATAGTCATAGATGACTCAGCATATAGTGATTGCTCTGATTAAAGATGTGGTTAAGATTAGTTACATCTGCCAGTGAATAAATGTCAGTCGTTTCCCCTTTTGTTGGAAAAAAATGGTTAACAATGGACGGTGTCAAAGGTCATTTTTTGGGGGAGGATAAGTACTCTACCAGGAATTTATCATTGCCTCTGCCAAATTTCTGGGCCTGCCAATCACGTTTGCTAAAGCAAAACAAGATAAAACCCACTGCATTTCAAAGTTGCATATCTCTGTGTTGCTGTGTTTCTTTAGTCTTTTAGATAAATTGCATGAGATGAGGTCTGACATTGTTTTGCTTTAATGTGTTTCTTCTGCTTGATTACCTCACTCATTACACTATACAACAGATGCTTAGGTGCTAGCCGTCTTTCCTACATGTGCTAACCGTTCTATCATCCTAATTCAACAAATATTGAATGAATGCAGCGCCTGGCACAGGGGAGGCAGTCACAGATACTTAGTGAATAAATAGCAATCATACCCCGGTTCCTGATGCTGGGAGCTCGTTGGCAGGAAGAGGGAGGGGAGAGAAAGCTCTAACCCAAGCAGGTTCTACCTTCCAAGGGTTAACAGTAGCCAAATGTAAATTAATCACCTTAATTTAAAGAACCACTGAGTCAAAGGAATCTCTATGCATACGTAGGAGGTAGAGTGGCGGGATCTCTAAAGAGAGTTGCACTTTCAAATTTAGGATTTTCTCCAGTCCAGGGCTAATTACAGTTCCAGACTGAGTCTCCTGAATGTGCAAGGATCCTTTTTGTCAGTCGCTGAAGTTGTGTACGTTTTTTTTTTTTCTAGCTAACATTTTTTCCCCCTCAGGGTTAATAAATAATCCAAATGAACATTAACTCACTTTGTAAATATGAGTATTATAATATGGCAAACTATAACACAAAGAGCTGCCAGTGAGTTAGAAGTAATTTTAGAAGGTGAAATATTGCAGCAGCGTTGCAAGAGAATGTGTTACACTGTGACCCTTTCATAAACAAAAGAAAACCGCTCCACTTTAAGAAACTTAAAGAGAGGACGGCGGTACGGCACAGCAGCATTGAAATACAGTGTATTTAAAGTGAACAGAACGTGCAGCCCCTCGTTCAGGTTTCCTGTGCTTGTGCGCTTGTAGCAGCTCACTCCGAGACAGACTGTTCTGCTCCCAAGAGGACCCGGGCCTCCCCCGAGCCAAATGGCTCCCCGGGATGCATACAGCCCGCCCCCAGAAAAGGAAAGTCGGTCCGGGGTGTTCCGGGAGAGCGCCAGCAGGGCTTAAAGAGGGAAAGTAACCCGAGCTGGCCGTTGCCCCGCCCCCGAGCTGCTCCCGGGTCCTCTGCCCCGCCCCCTCTTTTATTCGGGCGGCGACGCCGGGAGCTGAAACTTTGCAGCCCGAGTGCTGCCGACGCCCAGGAGCTGCAGCTGTCTCTGGGGTCCCGGAGGCGGCCCGGTAAGGAGGGGGAGCTGCAGCTGGACGGTGGCAGCTGGAGAAGCAGCCGCACAGCTGTCCCGTGTGCGGGCGACGGGCCAGGATGACCCGCTGACCACGGCCATGCGGCTTTGACGGGTGACCAGCGTTTGACCGTCGACTCCCTAGTCCAGCGGGAAGTGAAGCCATTTACCATGGTCTGGGGTCCCGGAGGCGGCCCGGTAAGGAGGGGGAGCTGCAGCTGGACGGTGGCAGCTGGAGAAGCAGCCGCACAGCTGTCCCGTGTGCGGGCGACGGGCCAGGATGACCCGCTGACCACGGCCATGCGGCTTTGACGGGTGACCAGCGTTTGACCGTCGACTCCCTAGTCCAGCGGGAAGTGAAGCCATTTACCATGGAACCCGTGACCAGGTGGACCCCCAAACAAGTGGTGGACTGGACTCGAGGTGAGCGGGCCTTACGGGACCTGGCGTCCTCTAGCCCTGGGGCTGGGGAAGAGGGCTCACAGCCCCAGCTGCGGGCGAGTCTCGCAGCGAGCGCAGCGTGGGGACAATGCAAACTTCTGCCGGGTGCGCCCCTTTTTCCTGTGCCTGCTCCGAGCTGTTCCTTTCCGAGGTGCGGTTTGTGACAAGCTCAGGGTAGCCCCGTCTTTAAACCAGGGAGTGTGGGGGGGTGTTGCCCCTTTTGTGGAGGTTGAAGGCTGTGGATGAGGGGTTCGGGACTCGGTGCTGGGGGTCAGGGGTGGGGTACCCGGCGACCTGGCTGCCAGTCCGCCAGCGTAGAGGCACAAGGAGCCTTTGTGTGGGTGACTCCCGCTGGACCTCGGAAATGCTGGCTGCCCCGCAGTCTGTAGGCGTGACGGGGCGGCTGGACAGGTAGAGGGAGACTCCAGCGGCTAGCTGAGCCTGTCTGATTTGGTTGGAGAAGTCTCCAGGAGAGCCGGCACTGTGGCATCCCTGCGGGTTAGAAACCTAGAAGAGACTCCTAGGGAGTCGTTGGTACCCCCGGTGGAGCAGCTTTTTCGGGCCACATTTAAACGCTGGGAAGAAGAAAAGCGTTTTTGTACAGTGTTTGGGAGGAGGGAACGCCGTGGGTGATGGGCGGTGGGACAGGGTAGGAGTTTGTACTCCTGGCTGTCCTGCTTACTTTTTTTTTTTTTTTTTTTT